AAGAAAGTTTACATGCCGATCCCTGACTTGGCAATTTTGTTTTGTAGACCGTAGTGCACACACGTTCAAATCGTAGTGCCCACTTGTATATTCGTAGTGCACATTGTGTGTCGTGGTGCACATAAAAATAGGGCCTGATTCATATATTATGATAATGTGTGTATGTAATATGTATATTATATTATTATATTATGTATTAATAATAAATATATAATACATGATATTTGTATAACACAAGAATGTATTTGGTTCATTATTTACTTTTTATGTCATTGTCAAGTACTCAATCTGAAATATTGTTTTTGTTTTTTTATAAAAATATAAAATCTACATTATCTAATATTATATTTGTATAGGTGTTAAGTAATTGATAATTACTATAATTAGTTATAACTTAGCAATGTATTATAAGATAAAAAATACTTAAAAATATTTCAGAGAGTCATATTGTATTGAGGTATAATATGATATAAGTTGACATTTAAAACTATACCTTAAGATTTTTATTTGTAATTTACCTATCTTATTATAATATAATGTATGATAATAATGATTGTAATGACTAATAATACAAATAAATGGAATAATAACAATATTTCGTAAATAGTTGAGCAATATGCGAAAACGTGTATTTGATTTTTCATGTGAAATATTTTATTTGTTATTTGATAAATGTTGTATTATTTATTCATATTATTTGTGTTTTAAGGTATTTATATTAATTACAATAGTTTAGCTTGAGCATAAAATAAACAAAGGAATAAATTAATATAATAATATGTATTAAAGATAAAAATGAAGTATATTATGGACAATTTATAAGAAAGTTATTGTGTAGATGAAGGTGAATAATTTATTGTTATAAATTTATTTAAACAAACTAATTACAATTTTATGTATTTTATATACATTTGCTGTACAAACTTTTAATTTTATGCTGGCGTATAATTTTTTTATAATTAGCCGTTTGTAGTAGGTGCACAAACGCAGACAGTATACCTATAGTCTTGTTAAGTAATTTTTTTTTTAATTTACGTTACGGTACAGATAACCAACCAATAGAACCTAATTTATATTGGTTTGGTGTTTGCCATTAAATAAAAATTAATTAGCTCATTATTCATCTACGTCTGTGTTTACATCGTTTAAAATCATTTTTTAGTGGCGACGTTGCACATGAAAGCGACCGACTGTGACCCTCCCCATTTGATTTTGTGTTTTTATGGACCTCGGACTGCCATGTAATAATACCCATAGGACATTGTGGGTGTTCATTATATTTATGAGAAATGAGAATGAAAATGAATAATGAATGCGCCATGGTAATTTGCTCAGACCAAGTGTTGGTCGTTTGAAACTTGTATCCATACGATACCATAATAATATGCACTTTTATAATACTCTTCCAGCTTGTGAAACCAGTTTATTTTCCTGTAACATATTTATCGTTTTTTTCCCCCAAAACCATTTTGTGATATTATGCTGAACCTCGTGCTGAACTATTATTAATTCCCGTGTCTATTTTGGTCACCAACGGTTTACATCAGAGTGAATTGTAAAATATACCTACCTATTTAGACATATAGTAGTATACCTATAATAATCTTGTTAATTATATTATATTATCTTCAAAGAAATAAAGAATTATTTTCCGCTTTTTATAAATTACAGTTTTAAACATCGTAATGTGGACCTGCAGTGCAGTTGATTTCAGTGCTCTCTTTTTATTGTTATGAATTGTGGAGTTCCAATTGAGCTAAAGAGGCTATAGTAATTTTAGGTGTTGTATTACATTATTGTGTAGGTTAACTGATTCACTTTCATTATTATTTATTATGTTCTTAGAATGTCTTCATAATTTATGTTCCATGCTGCATGCACGCATTGACCATATGCGTGGTATGTATATATACGTGGTATTATAGTTTTATTTTGATTTAGGCACGTTCAATTCAAATTTTGTTGAATGTTTTTCTTTACGTACAATATATTACGCCGCGGCCGTTCTTCTCAATCGGGGTCGATTTAAAAACAAAAGAGACGTGGTTTGAGTACCATAATGATGGTTTTTTTTAACTTTTGAATTGTAAAATAATTCGTTGTTCACCGTTTCGTTGTACACTCAAATGTTATTGTTAAATAGTTTAAAAATACGATTTCGTTCCTGAATAAAATTATGAAAGACACGTATAATAATATTATAGTTATTGTTATTGCTTTGTACATTTAAATGCTGTGTTTATTGTAGTATCCAATTATGTAGGTACACAGAGTTCATTATATTTTTCTTTTGTAATTCACATTATTAAAAAGCAATGATTTAATTGATTATTAATGAGTAATGTCTGCTAATCTATTTTATTCATATAATATGTACAATTGTACCATACACAAATAATATATATTATAACATACCGTATGTACTATGTCCTTATAAATATATTATGTAAATTTAAATGCCTATCCTTTTTTATACTAATAGATTAATTTATTTAAAGTTATAATATTTTTAAAAGCTTATATTATTTAATGTGTAAAAAGTTAAATTGTAATGCCAGCCGACTGTCAACTGATTAAATATGGAGAATACATGTTGTTGTTGTGATTATCCGTCCAATTGATATAATTTTATAATATTTAGAATTGATTGTGATAAAATATAACAATTTTTTTTTATTGGTTAGCATTTAATTGTATTGATTAAAATGATAAAATCCAATACAATAATAAATTACATATTTTATAAAATGTATGGAAACACTTTTTATGTTTATTATTTCCCATTGGTCTATACTCTATCCTTATTAATTCACATAGAAATAATTTGTAAGTTTTCTTATTTCATACTATTGTTTTATCAGTTTTGGTAAAATATTTGTTAAAATAAATAGGTACTCTTTAAAATTAAACTAAATGTATTAAAATAGGTTAAAAAATGACAGAATATTATTGTGCATACAAAAATAAAACCTTGGCAAATTCATATAATAAATAAAACTAATAAATATATTGTGAAACATACCCAATATACATATTATTACATACTCCGAGAGACGAAGAATAGGTATGTAATATCCTTCAATAGTTCAATTGTGTCAGTATGGACGTATAATAATTATACTTATTTAATTAAAATTGTTGTATGTTATCATTTTATAACAGTTGGTATATAGTAATATAGTACTATACCAACACATTTATACATTTAATTATAAATTTGTTCTAAATACACATTTGTAATTTAAATTTGTACAACAGAACAAAAGATTATAAAATGCACGTGTCAACGTTATTGTAATAATATTATAGTAGTTAGTTTTCTCTTATTTACTAGATTTACTAAAGCAAAGTGACTGGTATAGTGTATTGTATTGGTTACCTATCTAATTTATCTTCATTCGCATCAAAGTCTTCCTTGGGACTTGGGAGTTACATAGCTTGATCGTCTGTCACAGGAAAGTGTAAAATCAAATAACCAATATGTTATTACAACCAAACGTATTCATCGTAGCTTTTATGTGGGCAGTGATATGAGTCATAATTCCCCGTTAACCTCAGTTAGCCCAGTCGAGGTCAACCGTCCATATTGAATCTGCATCTTTGCCGAAGGAAACCATTAAAACATAAACATACCTACACCAACACTTCTCTCGTATATTGTATATATTTACCTACATTCACATTCATATATAAAATTAAATGTTTATATTTTTTGTACCTACTCGTCTGTTGAAAACATGATATGATGTCAGACTATAATAATGGACCGCTTGTAAATTACTGGTAATATTATAAATTATAATAATGTAATATATATATAGATATTACTTCCCTATTTAATTTTGTTTTTTGCTCGTGCTGTTATGTTGTATGCATTGTGTAGAAAAAAATACAACAGCATAACAAAAAATTCAGTGCCATTTATCGCGCATACGTTTGAACACATCAAAATATTTCTTTACTTGTTTGTGTTCTTCAGGTGCTACTTGCGGGTTTTAACGATTTTGGTGGTAATATTTTGTATTATACATTTTACAATATTTATATGCATTTTCTTTATTGATCATTGTTTTCATTTTAATTGCATTCTTTAAATAATAATTTCTTTTAACATATTAATCATACTTTTTAAAAATATTTATAATGTTCAAGTATATTTTAATGCAATTTCTACTTATGTGCTTACATAATTATTCCTTTAATATATTACTATTTACTTTTAGTTTTCGTGTCTAGATTTTTTATTAGGTACCTACTTAGGTATTAGTCATTCATACAATGATCACATATTGTTACATTCTTTAAAATATTATCAGCTTAGTAGTATTATAATAAGTGATAGATTTTACTTTACAAAATATTTGAAATTATTTACAACTAGTTGATTTTTCTTTGTTTAAAGATTAATGTTTATTTTTTAGAATTCAAAATTTTGTAAAATATGTATTGTAAAAAAATAATACATAATTATTATTCAATTCCTTACTCAGCTGAAAAACAAATGTATACTATTTATAAACATATAGCCATTGGCCATATATATATTTAAGAAATAAATTATTATTAGATGCATGAAAATGAAGTTGTACACATCTACTATTATATTAGGTATTATGATTGAAACAAGTTGTTTTTTTTTTAATTTTTTTAACTGAATTAAACTTAGGTATGTTTACTTTTCAATGCGGGTGTGTACAACTGGTTACTAATAACTCTGATCAGAAAATAGCCATGCGCACCTGCAAACGGGCACGGTGTGGTCATGTCAATACTCTCTTCCTCCCCCAGAACTTAACATAAACAATTTATCAGGGCTTGCATATTAGAACTGTGAAGACTAGTTATTATTTAATTACTTATTTTTTTATACGTTTTGATGTTTGGTTTTATTATGACCTGTAGGCACCCATGAAAATAGATATAAGTTATAACTTTGTACAGTTCATAATTTAAAGTAATTTTCAAGATTATTGGAATAAAAATTGTTTATTTTTCTTTAGGAAATGGTTCAAGCTAAAGACCCACCAGCTCACTATTTATCTAGACTCCGTACATATTTAGATCCAAAAGCTTCCCGAAGTTCAAGAGTAAGTGAGTTTTTTATTAAAAAAAAGCTATGCATATATTTATTATATAATCATTAATTTTATTATTAAACGTCGATTTATGTCTTATAGAAGCGAAAAATGGTAGGGGATGCCACTTCTACACAGGTTTTGCGGGATCTAGAAATATCTCTTAGGACCAATCATATAGAGTAATATCAACATTTATATTGGATATGTTAAATTTAATTTATACCTAATGACAAACATAATCAATTTCATCAAATAGGTGGGTTCGTGAATTTCTTGATGATCAAAATCATGGTCTGGATTCGTTGATTGACTATCTTAGCTTTAGATTAGTGATGATGCGCCACGAATATAGGTCTTGTGCTGATGTGACTAATGTATCTACAGAAAAAATCAATCAAGGTAGGTATCTGAATGCTTTAGTTTATATTTTTAATCCAATAGTCCAATGGAAATCATTTTATTTTAGAGTTTGTTTTGTTTACGTTTATTTATAGGTAATCATATTCACACAAATGGCATTAGTAACGGCAATGTAACGAATCACGCGAGACCTACTTTAGACGTACTAGATAGCCCTGGGATCAAACGGAGATCGCGACACGCTGCAAAGTTAAATATGGGCGATACCAAAGATGATATACACGTTTGTATAATGTGTTTACGAGCTATCATGAACAATAAGGTGAGAACTTAAAAGCCCAATTTTAAAAAAAATTAACAGTAAAACGTTTTAGTGAATTCAATATTAATTAGAATATGGTTTGAAGTTTGGCTTATGTAAATATTAAAAATGATAAGCGGCTATTTGTTAAATTAAAAATGGTGTTTGACCTAAATGTTTGCTTCATATTTTTCTATATTGATTATACATTTGAACTTTAATCAAACCTAGCACATTTTTTGCCAGCTTTATGGTATTTTCATTAAGGTCTTGTATAGTTTGTACATGTACTATATTTGTACAATGTGACCTTTAAAGGTTAATATGCACTTTCAACATATGTTTAGTTTTCGTGTCATATAAATTACGTACTTATTTAAAATAATATGCAATATAGAATATCGATAAATCAAAGCTCCAGGGAATAAAAAAAAATACCGAAAAACGCATTGTACCGTTGCCGGGTCTTTTGATCAAATAATGGTGGAAGGGAAAAGACATAAAATTAATAAATATAGTAAATTGTGCCACTGTATAAAATATTAATTTATTATTGGCGTTACTGGCGAAAGTCTAAGTCAATTTGATCAAGATATGACAGCGCAAATCACGATATTTTGACTCTGACGTCACATAAATTATCTTATTATTTAAAATTTTAACGGTCTGTTTTATAATATATCTAGCAAGTAGAAAATAAAAAAAAAACAATATTCTGTTTGTACTTAAATTTTTTGGTTTATGCAATACTTTGTTTATAGTTAATAAATAAAAATTATAACTTATAAGTTGTATTTTTCACTTCGCACATTAATTATCCATATAACTTGTAATAACATTTGGAATAACAGGCCTTGGCATGAGCTTAAAATCAAATTCTTAGTTTCATAATATCATCAGTATATTCTACCTGAAAAATAATTAATATGTAATTTGTAATAACTAATAATAGTAATAGCTGTATGCCTGTATAAAATGTAAGAGACTGGCCTAGCAAATTAAAATAACTTTTGATCTAATCAATATTTTATCTATTTTTTTTATTTATATACCTTACTAGCTGATCCTGTGTACTTCGTTATCCGTTAAATGTACCAAATCTATATGACTCAAACTTTGTTTAATTCGTTATTTAATATTCAGTGTATGGTGTTCAAAATTTATCTTAACTTTACCGTTGCCCGGAATAATAGTAATAGTTCTGATATTATATACTTGTGTTACAAGTATAATATAAAATTGTTTATTTTTATTATCTATTACTAAAATAAAAAATGGATAAATCGTGAGTATAAATTGAATTGTAAAAACGTTTATTTAAGAATCTACTATTCTAGTAGTTTATTTTTTACAATTTTTTTTTCAAATATTTTTTAAATTTTATATTTTGGAGTAAATAAATTCAAAACGTAATACCTAACTTTTTTAAAACTATTATTTTTGGAAATTTTCAGACATAAGTAAATCTTAAATTATTTACTATCCATATTTTTTTATACCTTTAGGCTTTACTAGCTCCAATTTTTCATTTTTCATTTGCCAGGTTTCTGTTACACTCTGTATAATATACTTATTATTGTAATAAATGATAATTCACAAATACTTCAAGTGGCATTGGATTTGAAATGTGACTAATGTTTTGAATATTCATCGTTTCTGTATCATTTTATTGTTTTTTTTACGTTTGTAATTTACAATAAAAGTGAATATATATTTAAACTATTTGTGTGGTTGTGAATATCATATGCTTCATATAGCTCTGCTGAAGAGTAGGTTCGAGTGTACCTCATAGAATAAGCCACTCAAATGTATGTGTTAAATTGGAATTCAATGATAAACCATTGAATACGAAAAACGATTCCGACAATATTCCTATTATAGTAATTTATTTACTATTATTATTAATGAGGTATGTTGAATTATTTTTTGCCGAAAACATGGCATTTGAAAAGGTCGTTGTTGTGTGTAAAAATTATAATAATATTCATAAAAGTTTCAAGTACCCCCAAACAATATTTTTGAATTGCAATAAGTAAACTAAAACCATTATTGCTTATTTGTTTAAATATAAAATTTCAACTTGAGTTGTTTATGAAAAAAAAAACTGTGCATATATATTTCGTATTTTTTTTGGTTTCAGTATGAACTTTTTATGAGGAACCTCGTATTAAATTTTTACTACGGATAGAAAATTCTAATATAAACATATTTTATTCAAAATTTAAAATATCTAAGTTTTTGATTTTGAGTTAGGTACACAAAAAAAAAAATCAATTTTGTCGGTTTTGTGTAAAAATTCGTTTTTGTTAATTTTTTTTTTCGATTATTTAAAAAAGTACTTTTTCGAGTATTTTCAATTTTTTCTAGGACGTAACACTGATTTTTGTTGTTTCCGTCTTACCACTCTTACCAGTGCATAATATAGCAAATTTACGCTCAGAATAACACTTGTAGCTTCGTCAGTTTAAACATTAGAGTGAATTGACCCATTATGAAAATTGATGGTAAGAACATTATCTGTGTTTACACGTTGATTTTTTACGATAATTCAGTTTTTAAGTGAGTTATGAGCATTTTTGATTTACTGTATATTATATACGTATAATTTGCTAAAAAATTGAAATATCATAAAAAACCAATATACAAACACCTTTTAACATCAATTTTCGTAATAGGTCAATTCACTCTATAATGTTTAAACTAACGAAGTTACACGTGTTCTATTGAGCGTAAATTTGCTATGTTACTCACTTGTAAGACGGAGACAACAAATACCACTGTTACGTCCTCTTAAAAGCACTAAATACATTTCACTACCAGATTCCACCTTCAATGTTGAAGATCGAAGCTTTTTTTCCATTATAAGACGTGTACAGTTAACAGTGTACACAGACAAAAAATAAAATAAAAAACATGCATCATTGTAAAATGAATACATTTATCTGAACACTCCGTTCAGATTCTAAAACTCTAAAGGGTAATCAGTGTTCTGATGCTCTTCAATGAATTTAAATTATCATGGTTTAATTTACTGTTTCAGTATGGATTAAATATGGTGATTCAACATACCGATGCAATCAATAGTATAGCATTGAGTTTAATGCACAAAAGTTTGAGGTATATTATTATAATTTTGTATGTTTAAAACTTTAAAATGAATATGCTTTTACACCCATGTATACGTTTTAGGACAAAAGCTTTAGTACTTGAGCTTCTGGCTGCAATATGTTTAGTGAAAGGTGGTCACGAGATCATTTTATCCGCATTTGACAACTTCAAAGAAGTCTGCCAGGAAAAGAAACGTTTCCAAACCCTAATGGATTATTTTATTAATTATGAAGTTTTTCACATAGAATTTATGGTATGTTTAATAAATTAAGAGTTTTTGAAACACTTTTTATATTAAAAATTTTTTAATTTTATAAATAAAATGTTAGGTTGCTTGCATGCAATTTATAAACATTATTGTGCACTCTGTGGAAGATATGAATTTTCGGGTTCATCTGCAATATGAATTTAGTACTCTCGGGCTCGATGAATATTTAGTCAAAATCAAGCATACAGAAAGTGAAGAACTTCAGGTTCAAATTTCTGCGTATCTTGATAATGTATTTGATGTAGCAGCATTAATGGAAGATAGTGAAACTAAAACGGCTGCTTTAGAAAAAGTAGAATCTCTAGAAGACGAACTTGCACATGTACGTGAAAAAAATATCAAAAGTAGTTTTTACTAATAAACTTGTAATAAGTAAATTTTAATTTTTTCAGGCACATGATAGGTTAGCTGAATTAGAACGTGAATCATTAGCCCAATTGGCTGCATTAGAGAGCTCGCTTGGAATGGCTCGGGCTGAAAGGGATGCCGCAGCAGAGAGCAAACGTACAGTTGAAGAAGAAGTAGCAACACTACGGAGGGTTGTAAACGATCAAAAACGTGAATCTCAATCTCGACAGTTCATGCTTGAAGAAAAAATTCAAGAATTGATTTCACGTGGAGCTCAACCAGATTTAAGTAATAATTTAGGCTTAATATTCATTTTTGTTTAAATTTCTAATAATTTTGTTTTCAGGCTCTAGCAGTGGAATTTCAAGTTGTTCCTCGACTGGAAGCAATAGTATTTCTGCCTCACCTCCACTACCACCTCCACCACCACCATCAACTACTGCTTCTTCAATAGCTATGCCACCTCCGCCACCCCCGCCACCACCAATATCTCCAAAACCAACTGGTATACCTATTCCACCACCACCTGCCCCACCATTAGCGGGAACAATGCAAGCACCAGATGGAGCTATGACAATTAAGCGTAAAGTTCTGACCAAATACAAGTTACCAACTTTGAATTGGGTTGCAATGAAACCAAATCAAGTACTATTTTTTATCATTTTTACCATTTACATTTTTACTTATTATACTTATATATTTTATAAAATGTAGGTTCGTGGTACTATTTTTAATGAGCTAGATGATGATAAGTTACACTCTGTGATAGACTTTGGTCAGTTTGAAGAGAAATTTAAATTGACAGCTGCTGGTCGAGCATTGATTAATGGCAATTCTGACCAACATGACGGGTTAATGACATATCCGAGTAAACGAATGAAGAAACAAGATAATATTTCTCTTTTGGAACATACTCGCTTAAGAAATATTGGTAAGTATAGAAAACTATTAGATTTACAAAATATCTTCTAATTTAAATTTAAAAATAGCTATTTCAAGAAGAAAACTTGATATGCCAGTTGAACGTGTCATAATGGCTGTTAATTCATTAGACTTAAAACAAGTACCTTTAGAAAATGTTGAAATTCTTCAACGAATGATTCCTTCTGATCAAGAGGTAAATTTTGCTATAATATATTTATATTTCAAGTTTCTTCTTATTTATTTGTGCATATATATATCGAACTAGTTTTTCAAATTCTGAATCACTGTTTCCATTTCCACTGAACACTCCTTTCCTTAATATGGTCCGTAACATTGGATGATGTTTATACACCATATCAATTATCAAACATTTTACCCTTTCTTTGTGTATTACTTCAAACTTGTTGCAAATATTTTGATTATAATCATTCATGACTTTAGACCAAGCATCATTTTGTTTTTGAATCTCTTTGATCCACTTAGTATTTTTTTTTACATCCAAATAATGTTTTCTGATATAATAGCCCTTAAAATATTTTTGAATAATCGTAGCAGCTTTATTATAATAATCAATGGACATAAATACAAACATTTTTATTGCTATATCGTTGAAAAACCTAAAATATAATAACATTACTAATTTAGGAAACACATACTTGTAATTAGTATACCTTCTAGTAATGTATCCCTTCCAATATTTTTGAATAATTTTAGCTGCAACATTTAATTTTGTGAAATACAATCTCGTATAATAACCCCTGTAATATCGTTGAATCGTTATTGCAGCAGTCTTATTTCCCTCAATAAATCGAGTCCCATTTTTTTGTTTCAATTGTAATGTATTATCTATGTTCTTTTCATTACGAGTTATGTATTCAACAAAAACCATTATTTAAATTTGTGGTTGAAATTCAATTGTTTTGTGATTAAGAAATGTTTGTTTTGTTCATATTAACAACTAAAAGTAACAGATGTTATTTATTAGTTGAAACCAACATTTTTAAATATTAAAATGTATTGTATTTTATTATTGTAATCTTTTTAATTTTTATTAAATTTAAAATTAAAGTTTAAAATATTTAAGTATATTTTAGATTCTGAGTGGAACGATGAATGTATTGATTTTACAATGCGTGTTTTTTTTTTTTTGAATCTTTTTTAAAAAAATTTTTTTTGTGTCTGTCATCACGGTTTGGGGCAGTAAAATTGCTTTGATTTTCTTCAACAGTATCTTGTTCGATGGGAAAGTGAATCTAGTTGGTGCATTCGGGAGGTCAAATTTTAAAACTCCCAATAGTTTTCAAAAGTGCCAGGAAAAATTAAGGAAAAACGGGAATTTTTACGCAAAATTGATTTTGGTTTTTGGTGTAACTCTAAAACAAATGAACTTTTGAACCATGAAATTTTCATATATGCATTTTCTATACACGATAAAAATATTTAGATTTGTTTTGAACTGTTTAGGAACAAATTATTATTACAATAATTATTATTACACCACTTAATTAATATTTTTATTATAGGTAAAGTCTTATAAGGAATATCAGTTGGAGAAAAAAGACATAAACATGTTAACTGAAGAAGATAAATTTTTAATGCAGTTAACTAAAGTCGAAAGACTTGCCACCAAATTATCTATAATGAGCTATATGGGTAACTTTATGGACAACTTACATTTAATATCACCAGTGAGTTTACCTATGACTCCTGACTTGTCCAGACTTATTTATATTGTTTCAATTCTAGCAAGTGCACGCCATTATATCGGCTTCGAGTTCCGTAAAGAATTCCAAGAAACTACGTCAATTGCTTGAGATAATATTAGCATTTGGTAATTATATGAATAGCGCGAAACGTGGTCCTGCATATGGATTCAAACTTCAATCATTAGATACTTTAGTTGATACCAAGTCAAGTGACAGGCGTATTTGCCTTCTACATTTTATTGTTGATACCATCAGGTCAAAAATGCCAGAAATCATGAATTTTGATTCAGAATTTATGTACATTGATAAAGCAGCAGCTGGTACTGTTAATTTTATATTATAAAATATTATTACTACTACTAAACATACATATTTTATATTATGTTTAGTATCATTGGAAAATGTTATAACTGATGTTAATGAGTTAGAAAAAAATATGGAGATCGTAAAGAAAGAATGTGAAACCAGAGGTTACGGAAATGCTCAACATGTAATGGTTCTTCGAGATTTCCTTAATAATTCTGAAGACAAACTTAAAAGGTTGAAAAATGAGACTAAAACTGCTCAAGAATCATTTAGGGATTGTGTAGAATATTTTGGTGAATCACGCCGAGGTACAGATGCCAATACTTTCTTTTCCATGCTAGTTAGATTTGTTAAAGCATTCAAGGTAAACAAAGTATATATATATGTATATATATTAAAGTGCTAATAAATATATATGAATCACAATGAACATATTTTATGTTAATTATCATTCATGTTTAGTATTTTTCATTGCTATATTCAACATATGTATATAGTAGTGGTGTATTTAATATTTTTATTCATTGTAATATTAAAGTTATCTGTAATGTTTTTCTGTAGACGGCTGATATCGAAAATGAACAAAAAAAAAGATTAGAAGAAGCTGCATGCCAAATTAAATTAAAAGGTAGTACTGAGAACCTAGCTGCCAAAAACAAAACAAATCAAAAATTGCAACAAGTATGTCCAATTTATTGTAAATACACGATTTAGACCGGTCACAGAATTTGTTGATTAAATAATTTAAGTTTGTGTAACATAACATTAATCTTGCATGTTTTAATGCAATGTTCTTATAATTTTTTTTATTAAGAAATAAATTTTATTTTAATATTTTTCTTTTGTTTGCGTTTTATCTCTAAAGGTTTGATGTGTGGTTGTGGTATACTGGTATTACAGTAGTTGTAATGCATTAAAAAAAGTATTTCATGTTTCATTATTTATAATTTAGATATAATGTTTGTTTAAATTAAGAATTAATGTATAGTATGGTGTTTGTATTTTATTTTCTTTTACATCAAATGACAACATACTAATTATTAATTTAGAAGGCTTAAATCATTAGTATAAGCTCAATAATTTGCTTGGACCTGCACTGCATAACATGACTACTGGTGTTGGATCAGAACCATATTCATTTAGGTACCAATCCAATTATATTTAAAAATTTGTGTGTGGAAAGAAAAATGAAGTGCTCTAATATTAATGACTGAATGATTCTGTCTTACCTTAAATTGGATTGGTAAAATGCCTTGGGAATTTAATTTAATTTTAAATGTCTCATCCATTCATGATTCATCATAATATTATATTGTTCTGAAATAAATTTTACAGTTGTAGATTCACTACAATCAATCATTTTAATTGCAAACATAATAGATTTGTTGATACCTTACATATTTGTTAACCTTTTTATGCACATGTTTATGTGTTTATCTGTATGAGTATAATTTTAAATTATTTGTGTAATTTAATTAGTAGATAATATTATAAGTGTTTTAAACCAAAATATTTATAGTTTTTTTTTTTATTTTGCTAAACTTTGTTATAATTTACTAGTTTTTGATATTATTAACTAGTGCTAACAAATCTAATAGTTTAAAATATTTGAAATTTCATTTATCAATATTAAAATATAAAATTAGTTATTTTAATTGACATTTCATTTTTCTCTTCATTAACATTTTATAAATATTATTTTTCTGTGTGTTTGGTTCCTAAAACTTTTTTGAATTTAATTGATGATCATCATAACTCACAACTTATAAGTCATACTATATATTGTTTTTAGGAAGCTGTTATTAATGAACTGAAGAATAAGACAAAGATGGTAAAAGAAAAGAAATTGTTACACCAAGATGAAGTATACAATGGTGCATTGGAAGATATTCTCTTGGGTTTGAAAAATGAACCTTATAGGAGAGCAGATGCTGTTCGAAGGAGCCAACGGCGTCGCATAGACAGCAATCGATTGTCCAGGACATTGGAAGAACTTGAATTTTGAAATTCCTATTAATATGGTAATGTACAATAAGATTTAGTTATAATAATTTGTTTTAATTAATTTTATTTGAGTGAAAAGATATGTTTTTTCTCCAGTTTAATATATTGTATTTCAGTGTTCTCAATAACTTATTTCTATATAGGTATTATTTTTATAATTAGAACTCGGATTTGCATGCATTTGCATATTTTAAATCTATGTAGTTTCATTTCAAAACTAACATTTATATCATTATTAATTTAAAATAAATTATAAATGTTAAGCATTCATTTCATTTAATCAGTGGCGCCGAAACCAAAAAAATGAGGTAGGGCTAACTTTCAAAATTATGAGACACCACCAACCCCTGACCAATAATATTTGACGTTTACAAAAAATATTTGATTCACCAGTATAGTTTCCCTATATAACACATTTTTAGATTCTGAGTGAAACGATGAATGTATTGATTTTACAATGATGTGTGTTTTATTTTTTTATTTTTTATTTTTGTGTCTGTGTACACGATAAGTAGTCGAAATAATGCTTCGATTTTCGACTTCAGTATCTTGTTCGATTGGAAAGTGAATATCGTTGGTGTATTGAGGAGGTCAAAATTTAAAATTCCCAGTACTTTTCAAAAGCGCCAAGAAAAACAAAAGAAAAATTAAGGAAAAATGGGAATTTTTACGCAAAATCGATTTTCAGAAAATTGAATTTGGTTTTTAAAATTTGATAAAAAATATTTTGACTCTTTTTTAGCTATTTACGGATATTTTAATTTTTAAATTTTTTTAGTTTTTTTTTCTATGAATATCAATAAAGTTTTATCTGTTGGGCCAAAAAGTGTAAAAATTTAATACAAGGCTCCTGGTATATTGTTACAATATCAGTTGAAAAATATTAAAAATACATAATCACAATTTTTTTTTATAAGCATTTAAACATCGAATTTTGACAGAATATTTCAAAATCTCGAAAATTGTTAATCATTGTAGTTAATAAATTATAAAATGTTCAGTTTTTATAGCTAAGGATTGAAAATTTAAAACAAGATTCCACGTAAGTAGTTAATTCTCTTACCAAAAAATCTAAAAAATATACAATCACAGTTTATTTTTATAGTCATTTTATGTTCAAATTTGGACGAAATTACATATTAAAAAACCTAGTTATTTTGTTGTGATTATATAATATTATTCGTGGGTACCTACTTGAAACTTCTAAAGTGTACTATTATATATCTATGATATTATAAGGGTAAAGGGTTTGTTATTGATGTTGATGTATAACGTGTTATAAGTACCTAATGGATATTGTGATAATGTGATATGATTAATTTGGAATTTATTATAGGTCAATTTTTTTTTAATACCATAAATATGTATATAATTTGTCTTAAACCTAGACTGACATACCGTCTTCGCTCAGAATCGTTTTTCTTATACAATGATATTGTATCATTGAATTCAAATTTAATAGCATCCATTATACAGTGACCCACTTGTAACCTACTGTACAGCAGAGCGACATCCACTTACCCACCTTTATATTAGGTAAACCTTATCAGTAATCGTCATACATACTTTTATTTTGGATTGAAATTATACCAACATATTATACATAATTCCAAATTGACTTACTAGACACTAGTTATGTTATAAAATATAACTTATAAATATTTTATGCTTACTATGGTTTGCAGGTTAACAAGATAATAATTATTAGCACTACCACAAATTAAGTTCTAACTATTAGGTAATAGGTATTATATGCTATGCTATTATGTGTATATGCAATGCTTCCACTGATATGCTTTTTTTTATCTGATCATTGAATAGACAACGAACGTGGTACCTAGCATACTATATTTACTAACTAATTATCATGGTTTTAATTAGGCTGTATTTAGGCTGTAGATTGCCTGTAAAGGCGTAGGCTACAAAAATAAGTCCAGGTATAAGTAACTCGTTGACACAATCACTGAACCACCAAACCACCCACCACCTAAATATTATGAGGTAGGGCATCCGCCCTACCTGAATATAGGGTTCGGCGCCACTGCATTTAATTAAATTGATTCATATTTCTGATTTCAGTAAAAAAAAAACATATTTAATATTTTTTGATTTCAGTTGTTAAAGAATAAGTAATGATAATCAAATTATTTATTATGATTAATATTAAACATAACATACAATAACAAAATTTAAAAAATGCCATTTATTTTCTAGATTAATGCATTTGTATCATCTACATTCCACATATCCAAATACTCATGACTATACGTTAAATATTATAATTAAGTAATAAAAAAAAAAAAAAAAATGTATCGTTAATGTACTCATATTATTATTTTGTTTGTTTGTTATTTTACAAGTTTATTCATTGGAACTATATTATATTTTCTTTTTGTAAGAATGATAATATTATGTTTTTAAGACTAGAATATTAGATATAATGTTAATTAATTCTGTCATATATACCGAGTGAGCCACTAAGGTTAAGCGTGTTAAATAAAGGAAAACGGAAAACTTAGTGGCCCACTATGTATATTTATATATAAATTATTGTCGCTAATAGTTAATTTTATTTGTATTTTTTACCATTAAAATTAGTGTATATTATTTATTTTTATAACTATAGAATCTTCTTTTTCTGTAACTGCTAACTTATAATTTCTTACTATGAAAAGGAAAGACTATTACAAAATTGTAAGTTACTAGTAACAGAACTTTAGAATATTTTTTTTATAAAATATATATACATTATTTCTATATTTTACTAGACTATTTGAAAATTCTCATATGCATATGTTTTAAATATAATTTTCAGATTTTGTATCATATTTTTATTCTTTGGATTTACTATCTAAATCAAAATTTACCAACAAAGTCAGTTAGTCATATTTTCCAGAAGCAATTGACATATGTATATGATGATTAACAAACATTCAATTTTGAAATATATGTTCAAATATTTTTAGTAAAATATAGTTTTTGTAAACTTGATTTTATAAATAAAATATTTTATTATTGGCATACAATTTATACCTTTATACATTTTAACAATACAAATTTTTAATATTCTTACCTGTTAAATAACGAGCTTAGTAATGAAAAGTAAAGATTCTGGTGAAAAAAACCATAAATCAACGAGACCTATTAAAAGCAATATTGTATGTGTTGCTACTTATTTTTGTACAAAAATGATAATTTATTTTCAATCGGATATCGCTTATTGACATTCAATTTAAGATAGTCTTGATCAAAAACTCACACTTGTGATGTGGTGCTTATAGATATTAGCCTTGTAAAACTATTTTTTTACTGTACTTATTTTGTTAAATAGACATATTATTATGCTTGATTTCAAATGTAATTTTCATTTTCATTTCAAGCTATTTTTATTAATGTTGCTGTGTTAGAAGTCTCATCCAATGAAAAAAAAATGTTCTCTTGGATTTGTATATATTTCTCATATTATACCATACGTTTTTTTAGTGTTAAACATATTTTGTAATATGTGTAAATAAGAATCATAGATTTAACTAATGGTTATTATTATAATTATTTTGTACCTAAAAAATACTGAAAACCTTTTAGATCGGTTAAGTGCCATCACAATAAATTATTGCAAAAATTAATATATGTTTATTTCTATTGTTGATTATACACACATAATATTATGTAGCATATTTCCTAGTAATTACCTTTTATTTTCTAAATTTAAAAAAATGGTTTAAGTGTTATTCATCTATTTTTCTGAGCATAATATTGTGTAAAATAGTTAAAATTGTTATTTATAATATTTATATGCATGTTAGGTGTGGTATATTCTACGTTTATGGCTGAATAGCTTAGCTTACATTTTAGAATAATTATATTTATCCTCAAAACATATAACTATTTATTTTATTTGTAACCAAATGCAATTTACTAAATACATGGAATATACAGCTAGAAAATGTTGAGTGGATATTGCATGCCCTAAAAATGCAATAACTTTTCATTAACCCGTCAATAGTATGAGCGCAGCGCTGATTAATTTACTAATTTAGAAACCACTGGTTTCAATTTCATTTTTACATTTTTGATACCTACATATATACTATTATATCTGGAAATTGTTCTATAAATAAAATAACCCAATCCATAGTCTTGTGTTGAAATGACAATAGATTAAACTTGTCAGTTCCGATAAATAAATAACTGACATATATATACACATATACAAGGTGATTCATTAAGCGTAAAACACTCATTATCTCAAAAATTATTAATGTTTTTGAAAATATTTTTTTACATAGTTTCAAGTTGTTAAAAAAACAACGTTTTCATTAAAAAATTATATTTTTAAATATTTTTTATCCTTATAATTTTTTAAGTTTTTTACTTTTTTGAATGACAGCATAGAGTTATAATTTCGTATTCCAAAGCAGAATATTTTTCTTAGTATTTTGATATATAAAAATCGAACTTAGGACGAGTAGTTTATGAGTTATAAGTATTTTAAGTTTAGATGAGCGGAGTGGAGTGGTATGGGGTTACCCCGCAAAATGTTTATCCACTACACCGCCCATCTAAACTTGAAATACTTATAACTAGAGTCCGGATTTATATTCTGTTAAAACGATTGAAATATGATGTTTATATACAGTTGAAATTTATGAAATATTCCTAAAAATATTCTGAAAAATATTGATAATAGTAACAAATAAGCAAAAAATATAAATAATATCTTAAAAGCTAAATGTACACTATCAGGTCGCCTGGAGTCCACACGTCATATACACTAGCATCTAGCGATCGCTATGGAAAGTATAGTCTCCAGCTTCCTGAGAGTCCATAGTAGATTGTTGTATGACATTAATTAATAAACCATGGTGTTGTTGCCGAAGTAATTCAACTTCTCGGTCGACAGTACCACAAAAAAAAAAATATGAAATAAAATTTGATTTTTTATTAGATTCAATTTAAAGTTAAACCTAAATGTTAAAGAAAATTATAATAAGGACATTTTACCATCTCATACCTGTAATTGTAGTTGCTTATTATTGATTTATGGACCTATACGCCATACGGTCCATAATCCATATACTTTATTATATTCAAACTTAAAAGAATTTTAATGACATGTAAATATTTTGAAAATGGCATTGTGCAAATAAAACATGATAATAAAAGTTTCAAGTATCCCATGAACAATATTCATAATATAACTCATTATGAGGAGTTGTTTGTATTAAATTTTCTCAAATAATTCACGAGGAAGAAAATATAATAACAAATTCCCTATTAATACATTTTTATTTAGATAAATTATTAGGGCTTTGATTTACAATATTTACAAAAAATTCAACTATACACACAAATTGATGTGACAATTTTTCTAGTGATAAAAATTACAACAGAAATAAAAACTAATATTACAACTAAGACATTTAATAAATAGTATTGATACCATCTTAGCTTAAATGCTAGAGATTTCAAATGTGGTGCGCCATTGTGCCGAAGAACATACTCAGTCCAGTAAACAACGGGTTCTGCTTGGGACATTGGTCGATCTTTGAATATTTTTGAAGCTGTTTCAGCATTTTCTTTGTACCTATTAGAAATTAATCAGTATGTACCTAATTTTAAATATTTATAATTTAAAAGTTATTTACTTTTTATTGTTGAGATGTTCTAAAAAAATTTTTAAGAAACTATCCTTTGTTATAGACAAGAGGGCTATTGAAATAGCCATTCCTGCGTTGACTAAATTGTCTATATTTCCTTGCTGATCACCAAACAAAGGAAATCCAAGAACTGGTACTCCAGCGTCCACGGTTTCGTATATCCCAGATACACCTCCGTGACTGATGAATAGTTTCACATTTTGGTACACTTAAAAAAATACACAAAAGTATAACTTCAATTGATAAATTGGCACTTCTTTCCACCATATATTACAAAATATATCACGCTGTGGTAGCCACTTCCAAGTCATCATATTTTTCTGCATGTCTTCCAGTTCGTTTTCATATTATTTCCATGACACCCTTTGAGGAATTTGTGCAAATGTTCTCAGTAACGCTTTTTTTATTTGTTTTGGCATCGAAGACATTTTTACGGTCGAACCAAAAGTGAAATAAATAACTCCATGTGGCGACTCTTCAATGAATTCTAAAACATCCTATATAGTTATAAATTGTTGCAATCTGTATTCAAATAGTGGCACGGTACACATTTAACAATCTTGTACACTTTAATTATGCCCGATTATTGGTCTATATATTTAAATTAAATTATATAACATACTTCCGGTAAGCGTATTAGGAAACCCAGGACGCCACAGAGCGCCTTATGTATACCACGTTCTCATTGGCCCATTTCAAATTGCCCGCTTTTTTTTTATCATTTATCAAATAATTTAATTTAATTTAATAATATAATATTAATTTAAATATTATATTATATTATTTAATTTAAACAAATTAAAATAACTATTTGGTAGAAAAAGGTACCTAACTAATATTAAACAATATTATTATGTTATTATAATTTAATAAATTAATGTAGAATGTGATCTCTACACAGTTATTTTTATTTTTTACTTTAGTAGGTACCTATACCTACCTCAGAGTGAACATTTCTTACTGGACTAAGTGTATTGTACTTGTACACAGCTTTTGTGTTAGCTAAAAAGATTATCTAGGTTCTTCCTAACATAGAAACAAAATACCAATCTTACTTAAATGTTTTATTTTTACTAAAACATAAGATTCTTAATTAAAATAGGTAGGTACCTTACTAAAAGTTCATGCTCTAACATTAATATATATATTATATTTTTAATAAAGACATAACTATTTTTAAAGGAACGAATTGAACTAGTGTTCAATGATTATTTTAATAATATATGGAATGGTAGCTACCGAAGCTAACCAAATTACTATCCAATTAAAGAAATAGTTATAACTTCACATGAATAGTGCAAAAACAATTTTGGATGTCTAGTTTGGTAGTCTAGTTCATCGATGACTGAAAAGCCCTGTTATTATTTTCAATTTTATATTTGTAGGTACACTACATTACTACCTACATCAGCAGTGGTTTATAAATAATATTTTTTTACACATTTATAATTTACCTAATTCAACCTTTTTAAAATGTTATGCAAGTATTAAGTAAACAAAATATATTAAGGTAGGTAAAAAATAATACATACATGTCTACCTACATAGTCAGAGGTAGGTAGGGGTTACACGATCATTGAAAGTATATAAATATTAGACAAAAAAAAAAATTGTACAAACATTTAAAACTGTGAACATATTTTAAAGTATTTTTTTTTACTATGATGACCACTTCGCATGTTAAAATGCTGGCAGTTGGGCTCTGAATGTGATTTAATTGTCCTGAATGAAAACATGACTCCCTAAATAACAAAAATTTGACCTACCCGATAATACTTTATAGGTGTTACAAGTTTCTATATAGATTATAATGACAATTATTATAAAATATACCATTCAATTTTATTATAATTTGATGAGGTACCTAACAATTTTGAACTCAGATTTACCAATTATTTTAGCAAACGATTAAACAATTTGTTATTATATTACATTAAATTTTGTTTATTTTATGATGTAGGGAAGTTTATCTTCTACATCTACTAAGTTTATTATAAATTATAATCTAAATATATCAAACTAATAGCAGTATACCTAGTCACAAATAATAATATAATTTAATGTAATTCCAGTATAAACTTTATAATGAAGTCATAAAATATTAATTCGAATGAAAAAAAACTATGTAAAAACAATGAAAAATACATGTTATATGTTTAGTGACCTCTACCATGGGATTTTGCATTTAATTGTCCTAAATTAATGTTTTTTCATATTCAACATAATTTAAAGTATTTTTTTTACTATGATGACCATGCGAGGCGCATGTTAAATTTCTGTCTATGCACAGTATTTAGAGGTGAAAAAGCTGGGAACAATCGCTGCAGGTACCACATGGCACATCAGTTGAGCTCTGAATATACAACATGACTTCCTAAATATCAAAAATTTAAACAGAAGTTTATCTTATTTACATCTTGGTACCTACTTCGTTTATTAATTATTAATTAATTGATGTCGCCACTAAAATATATGTAGATATAGCTCCTAAATTATAATCTAAATTTATCAAACTGATAACAGTATAGTCACATGGTTTATTTATTGACTACCAGACTACCTAGCAGTTATTAATTTGTCAACAGGAATATTAAATTGATTTTTGACTTGCTGTCATGTTTAAACTTTAACTGTACATCTCCGTTATAGTTGTACTTTTAATTTTAAGTTGTTAGTGTTTAAAGCATCTTAGCATTTTCACTAGTTAGGTATTTTTAAGCTCTGGTTGTTTGGGTATTTAACTTGTTGGTGTTAGTTCTCTGTTTCTGCATTTCTGAATAATTAATTATATTGTATTCATAATGGATGAATTCATTAAGTTCTTAAAAAATAATAATATCATTGCGGTTCTACCAAATGAAGTTTCTAATATAAATGAAAAGACCTCGATTCTTAGAGCCAATATTAATAATGTTAATGAAGTCATCTTACTGTGCTGACATAGGTACCCAATATTTATGAAACATGACTCTGAAAAAAAAAATGTCTTATGCATTAATATTAATCAAATAATGAGAACTATATTTTTTACTTACCTTGATGGATTGTCAAGCTGACCAACACGAATCCAATTAGTTTTCGAAAATTCTTGGTAAAGCATTATGAAATTCTCAACTTCATTAACATTATTAATATTGGCTCTAAGAAAACAACACAAACAACTAAAATATCGTTGCCATGTACGTGAATGTTTCAAAAATCTACAATTCATATCTGTGTCACATAGTTACCACTTGTCAATATTCATTTCTTGTGTTCATTACGAATAAATTTCATTTCTACGTACCTATTTCTGTATAATCTTCTCCGTTACTTCTGCCTATATAATATTATCAAATAAATATGTTATATAGATGTGTATCTATGCCTAACATGGCCACGATGTGTGAAAATTCCTCAGCCAAATCGACAGATATTGGATGGCGATCAATGCCAAATCTGAAGTTTAACCGTACCAATGATCTACGAAGACCGGAATCGTCGAAAAATGTTGATTCCAAAGGTTTTCTGGACCGCAGGTTCTGTGTATCCGAGCCAAATATCCCCGTACATCCAAAATTAGCTGGCGAGACAGCTGCAGATATTGGGTGGCGATCAACGCCAAATCTGAAGTTTCAGCAGGTCACCAGCGATGTACGGAAACTGGAATCGTCGAAAAATTTTGATTCCAAAGGTTTTCTGGACGGCCGGCTCTGTGTATCTGAGCCAAATATCCCAGTACATCCAAAATTAGCTGGCGAGACAGCTGCAGATATTGGGTGGCGATCAACGCCAAATCTAAAGTTTCAGCAGGTCACCAGCGATGTACGGAAACCGGAAAGTCCGAGACACACATGTCCTCGTCGTTCATTTTGGCGCAGGACAAAGAAATTAGTCAGGCGGTTCCTTTGTTGTTGTGGTTCTGTTGACAAGATAGACCAGTAATATGTATATTATAGAGTTTAAAAGTTTTTAAACATCCCCTCCTCTCCCACCGTTATCTCACTTTTGTGTTCGCTGGTACTATTCTGAAACCGTTAAACATGTCCTCCATTGTCATTTGTACCAAGTTAGTGTAGGTTTGCCTCACGTATTTCATGTCTGTACCATCGTCGGCTCTTCGCCACCTGTTTTGTTCTGTATTAATTAAATTAATATTATTAATATTATTATGTTACTCATATTAAACGTATTATTATAAAGTATGTACTGTGTATTAATACCTATCTATTATATCTACCTCATTCGCTTTGCATAAATATATGTAATAATCCTATATGGTCACGCAGGTGGATATTGTATTGTCATGACTCATGGATGTCATCGATTTTCATGATAGTAAAAAATTAAAAATTATCTATACTAGAGTGATTTACTTCACCTTCCGTTTAACCACCCCAAAATCGAGCCATGAATTATATTATAGTAGCAAACAGCTCGGTGTTATATGCCTGCGGATAATGTCATTTGTTCTGCATCGTGATATAGAAATAACCGAATACACACTGAAATAAATGTGCAACCATGTAGACGTCTCTGCGGCAAACACCGAGCCGTAAGTTTGAGCTTCAGTGGTAGGTAAACATTAATAGGTACTGTTAAAAATCGTGAGTAGTACTTAGAAGACGCTCCAGGCGTGTTATTCGCACACTCCACAGAGTCGGTATATTATACTGTAATACTATATAGGTGATCCGAGTTCTAATGTTGGACTCGATGGCGTTTAATTGTACACCCCAATTTTTTGTATACAATAATATTTATTAAAATTAATATACATATCATCAGCCTAATTCGCAATATTGTCCTAACTCCAAAAATGTGATTTTGGAATTAATTGTGATTAAAATTAAGGAAAAAAACTGCATTGTATGATAAAGTTGTAACTGATAAATTGTAACATTTTATCCTCCATATGACATTGATTATTAGAAATGGTCGTATCTCCGTTGTGATAATTTTAAAAATTAGAAAAAATCATAACTCCATATTAGAAAGGTAAAAATTATGAAGATAGGATATTTGCGAATTGATAGATGAGATAGGAAATTTTCCGATGAAATGTTTTTCCTTTCTCCTGAAAACTAGTCAATATGGAGTTTAGTGATTTGCGAATTAAGATGACGATAATATCTGATTTCTAGATGTTTTTAAATATAATTGAAGACCACATTTTAGAACTTTTGAGATTTTCGTATTGCATTAGAAGTGTCCTTGTGGCGATATAAACTTCCGTTTTTAAAATACTTCCATTAAGAAGAACTTGAACGCTTAGACATTTTAGTTTTAAGTACAAAAGATATCTAAACCTATCTTGGACCGACGACTATGGAGTATTGGTTGACAT